TCTCTCTCTCTCTCTCTCTCTCTCCCCCCTTCTCTCTGCCCCTTGACCCCCCCATCCTCTCTCTCTCAAATAAATAAATTTTTAAAAAATTTTTTAAAAATTCTTTCATATCTGTGCCCAATTTATTATCACTTTCCTACTATATGAACCTTGGCTCTAGTTAAATCTACTGTTTCTTAATATTCTATGAGCACCCCTAATCCATGTTTCCGCTTGCTCCTGGGGTCAACTCAACATCAGCCTCCTCAATTAGAATAAACTACCAGCAGGTGGAGAAAATACATCTTGCATTTTTTTAAGTTTACTTATTTTGAGAGAGAGAGAGAGAGAATGTGTGCACACAAGTAGGGGTAGGGGCAGAGAGGGAGAGAGAATCCCAAGAAGGCTCCATGCTGTCAGCACAGAGCCTCACACAGGGCTTGATCCCATGAACTGTGAGATCACTACCTGAGCCAAAAGTAAGAGTTGGATGCTTAATTGACTGAGCCACCCAGGCGCCCCACATTTTGCCTTTTTTATATCTTGCTTTCTCAGTGCCTTGCTACCAAAGGTGTTCAAAAACAGGTGCTTAGAACTGGCCCTATCCGCTAGTAGGTAAAACCTCTGAACTTTCTTCAGAGCCTAAGATAGAATGTGAAAAGTATTACCCTTAACGGAAGAGAGATGCCGTCTCTTGACGTGTCCTTGGGGCATTCGTTGGTAGTTCATGGCTTCTTCTAGGCCCTTGGAGTGATTTCCTAAAATCGCTGTGCTCCCCCACACCCTCATTGGCTGCATTGGCTGTCTGTATTGTTTAATACCATAGCAGAAAAACATCTGTCAACTCCTGTTAGCCTCACTGTTAGTCTCAAAGTATAGGGCTAGCTTTAAAAATAGACTAGTCGTCTCGTATTTTAGAAATTGCAACCAGGACATTTAACAGCTACAATGATACGGGGGGGGGGGGGTGGCTATATAGAAAAGTACAATAAATAGGTCCTTCAATGCGATGGCGGAGTTGATAAAAGTCTTCAGTACAAAAGATGAAGAGGCAGATTTGTAAATTTCATTGGCATCGCAAAGAGATCAAGAAGGAAATAATCTTAAGCTATTTCATCTGCCATTGAGCCTTCGGCATTCTCGTTGTGTAATCACACCCTGGTCCCAAGCCTGACTGGAAAGTACTTGAAGAAAAAACTCTACCCTGCATTGCTCAAATACAATGAGCTGATTTGCAACAGCATCTAGTAAGACACAAGTTTTTTACTTCATACCAAAGTACTATGGCTCGTGGGGAGGACATCCAGAATGTTGTCAACAGAGTCCTCTGTGGTTGTGAAAGACATGAAAATACATACATCATCTCGTGTTTCATGGAATTTGGCAACTCTCCGTCAGAAATGTTGGGGAACAATCTGGCTAAGTCTTGAAAGTAGGGATGAGAAGCCTAATTCAAAGTGGAATGAAGGTGATAATCTTTCCTAGGCAGGAGGAAATTGCTAGATGAAATGAAGATAATTAAGCTTTATTAGTTAATTATAAAAATACAAACAAAATGAAAATAGTCTGATTGTAGGAAATAAAAGGAAGAGCTATGTTACGATGGAGAAATAAATAATTTCCTAGGCAAAGAAAAATTAACTCTTAGAGGTAGGAGGTCAAGAGTTAAAAAAAAAAAGTTCATTAGGTACCTGCCTATCCTCCTAATATTACAATAAAATTGGAGACGAATTATGCTTGCACTGAATAAAAATTATAATGATATATTCTATTGTTTATAGATTAATACGAGATATGAGAAAGAAGAATTTTGTTAAATCGACATAATATTAAAACAACACAAAGCACAATTTTTCAAAACCTTACGTTTCCAATTAATATTCCCAGGAAAAGATTTTCCATTAATGAGTGTTGATTTCTTCCTTTTTTTAAAAAAAGTTTATTCATTTTTGAGAGAGGGAGACAGAGAAGGAAGAAGGACAGAGAGAATGCCAAGCAGGCTCCGTGCTGTCAGAACTCACAGACCGTGAGATTGTGACCTGAGCTGAAATCAAGAGCTGGACGCTTAACTGACTGAGCCACCCAGGCGCCCCTCTTTCTCTCTTTTTTAGGGACATGATCCTAGAGTTCTCACAGATCTTCACGCAGGCTCATAAAACTAGACGGGAACATGGAAGGCTTGTCCTATATTCCTGTGACCTCCTGGCATAAGCACACTGAGATCACATTAAAGAGGAGACAATTGTCTCCACTTATTTATGACTGTGGGCAAAAAGGAGCTACCATAGCTCTCTCTACACATCGACACTTTTTGTCACTCCACAAAAAGTGTAGGTGTTTAGCCAATATTTCACGTTATGTTATGTTCGGCAATTCTCCTAAGAGGTAGACAAGACTTGACTAGGAAGTGATGGGCTCCAGGCCGCCATGAGAAGAACTTTTATCATCTTACGATCGTGTACGATCGATTTAATCTTGTATCTAGAAATGCGGTTTGTGTTTTCAAATCTAGTTTCCTATGTTTGCTGCTCTCTAAACAAAATATTCCGTTTACCAACACAGCGTGCGCCGCATTTAAATAGTTACAGCCACGGGGCGCCTGGGTGGCGCAGTCGGTTAAGCGTCCGACTTCAGCCAGGTCACGATCTCGCGGTCCGTGAGTTCGAGCCCCGCGTCGGGCTCTGGGCTGATGGCTCAGAGCCTGGAGCCTGTTTCCGATTCTGTGTCTCCCTCTCTCTCTCTGCCCCTCCCCCGTTCATGCTCTGTCTCTCTCTGTCCCAAAAATAAATAAACGTTGAAAAAAAAAAAAAAATAGTTACAGCCGGTCCAAAGCCGGGCTGCTGGGCAAGGAATTACGTGCTGCCTGTTCCCTCTGGAGCCCATCTTCTTGTGTGAGTTTCATACTGGCGTTTAGATTTTCCACACTTTGAACTGAGTACATAAATTTCTCACTTTGCATAAGAACACTCTTTCCCGGGAAAAAAAAAAGACTTCGTATCCACCTCACATACCAAAAAAGATTTTCTACCTTTATTCAGCTTTCCACATACCTACAGAGTAACCTAGATTCTAAAATGAAGTATTCCACAAATGGAAAAGGTAGAAAAGCAGATTTTAAGAAGGCAGACTTTCCATTCTAAGTGCTCTTTTTTAAAAAACTAAGTTTTCTCATTCCTTGATGGTACATTTGGATTCTGAAAATTTAAGCTACTTCAGAGGTATCTGGGGTCTAAAGTGTGCATACTTGCCTGATGATGTTCAAACCAGAAATTAATCAAAAGGCTGTAAGGAAATTAAAATGTCACCCCGAAGCTCACCATAACAACTGTTTTACTGTATAGGATATCAGTCCAATAGAATAGAAATGGTTTTACAACCTTTAAAGTCTATGGTTAAAATGACTTTCTCGTTTGGTCTCATACTTCAGTTTCTTCCTGAGAAACATGGGTAGATGTCCTTGGCTACACACAAAAAAACTTGTTAATTCATGTTCCTATCCCCTTATAATCAAGTTTCTACACACTGGGGCAAAGCAATGACAGCTCCTTCCAGAAAAACACACGCCGTAAATCCTAGTATTCCGCAGGCCGTGTTTTATTTTCTAATCTTGGCAAAGTAAACGCTGTGAAAAACAAATACAACCTTCACCTTTCCCTTTTTCACAATCGACTAAAGAGTTGATTTAAAAATCATAAAAATCCGGGGACGTGTTAAAGGACAACTGAAGTACGATCGGTAATGGAAGCCTCTAGAATTACAGCGCGGCCAATGCAATGTTTAAGGTTTTCAAGAGTTGGGTTTTTTTCTTCTTTCTTTTTTTTTTTTTTACCAGAGAAATATATCCTCCATGGTAGGTTTCCACTAATCTCTCTGGCCAGGATGCCCCGATTTTATGAACCCAGGCCTTTGCACGGCAAAATGATTTTCTTTTTCCTGGAGCCGTGAGGTTAAGGAATGTTTTCGTAAGGGGCCTGGGGGGCGGGGGGTTGAATTTAACGACACAGTGGGCTTTGAAGCGGCCCCTAAAGCAAACACGCGAGGTTTCCTCGGGCTGCGGCTGGAGCATAACTAGCCTCCGCTCCAGACGGCAGAGCGTTATCGTAAACATACCTTGGCCTTGGGTGACTCCGTAAAACTCAGCTGCTATTCTGGCCGCTTCCTTGCGGTTGCCTTTGACGATGTAGAAGTGGCTGAGGATGGCGAGGCTGATCTTCACAAAGAGCTTGAAGCAGAAGAGCGAAAGTATGGTGAAGTAGACATTGGAGAGCTGCTGCGCAAACGGCCGGCTCTCTTCTAACAGCGACATCGCCGCACCTGAACCCTGCGGGGCCGTCGGCGGCGCTGCGAGTCTCAACCGTGCCCGGCTCTCCTCCGGATGCTCCCGAACAGCTGGTCCTGCGGAAGGAAAGCGTCAGCTGGTCACGATGCCCCGAGCTCAAAGTATTTATACCGTCCGTAAAAGTTCTCCGCACGCTGCGATTGGCCTGACGCTGCTCGGTGGAAGCCAGGGCACGCACCACGTGCTCCGCCCGCTCGCCCGGCTCCTGACTTTCCGTGCTCCGCGTGGCACGACCCCCCGCCGCCCTGCTCCGGATTTCAAAACCCAGGCGCCGAAATCCGCTTGCAGACGATTTCCTTTTTCGGCGTCGAATGGTCACGAGCGCTCCGAAGACTTCGCGCGTGCGGTTCCTGTTGTTACCGTAGACGATTTTCATCATAGGAAGATGAAATTGAGTCCGTGAATTCCAGGCCGTGGCTGCGTGATCTCAAGGACTCCTCATCAATTAGCTAACCATGTCGCTTTCACTTTATCAGAAAAAAATTTTTTTCTTATAAGTGGACAGATTGGAAGGCCATCGAGTCATAATTTTAGACTGTTCATTCGTCTCGAGAACACTTTTTAAGCACCTACTTA